ATTCAAAATCTACATGCTTAGGTCTGCTCGGAAGTGTTCAACTGAATATGGTAACCCCCCTACAGATATACTCTTATCTGACAATGATCATCCCCCCCAAATTTCAGCCATATTTGAACTTTCCACCCATGCAGTATATGCCCCTTCACCAAACCATCACTCTCCATTCAGCATTTACTCTACCCACTCCAAAAACTTCCCAGACTGGTTCCAGGGGAAGGGGGTCTAATGATGACACTTGCATCAGAAATATGTTGGTGCCATTCCCCCATCCCTAAAGCCTGGTGCTGTGTTTCCAGAGGCTTCCAGGCTGGCCATGGAGCCCCAGCCTACCTCCACGGAGATGTCATCCCTTGTGGCCAGGCTCTGGCTGACAGCTGCCAGCGAGGCCTGCTCGATGTCCCGGATGCACCGGTTGATGCCATCGATGGAGTAGTCACACTCCCTCTGTCCAGGGGCCTTGTCCCTGGAGGGACAGAGCAAGTCAGACACAGGATCCATGAAGCTCTAGTCCCGACACCTGGCTCACATCGATGGGCCAGAAGCCCCTGTCTACTGTCGACCCCACTCAACTGCCTTAAGGAGTGAATCCCTGACCCTTGCTTGGCAACGCTTGTCTTCAGAGCCCGTGCATTTCTCAGTTTAACACTCTGCTAAGTCTACTTATTTCTGGTGGAAAGGATAGGGTGCTGTCCTCCATCTCAGGCTGATGCCAGGCAACTGCAAATCAAACAATTTGGTCTTGGATTCTCCATTCACTGGCTTAAGCACAGGACTCTCATTAAAAAAAAAAAAAGTCAGTGCTATTTCCAGTGCAAATATACTACGCTCTCTACATTGTATTCTATTCACAAAGTCCTGGGTGTGGCAGGAGTTAAAACATTTCGTGGATTTTTCTTTGCAAGGCATTAAGACAGTTAACGAGGTCCTGAGTTTCAAATGCAACTGAAAAATGAAAAATATCCAAGGAAAGGGATGCATTCCATGCTGTCGGGTTATCAACTTTGGTCAAATTCAGAAATGCTTTATCTACTCATGGGATGATTTTTTCAGACTCCTACCATCACCAAGGAGGTTAGAGGTGCCCAGAGTTACTGTGGGACAAAGAATACCTTTTTGTCTTATTAGCAAAGTTAGGTAGCCCCAATCCTGCTAAGTAAATAAATAGTAATGCTCTCTGCCTAAGCTCCAAGGCATAGACAATATGGTATAATGGTTAGAAGGACTGGGACTAAAGTAATTGGGCCCGGGGATGACCTTGGGAATGTTACCTAAATGATTTTCTGCCTGAATTCTCTCATTAGTAAAATGGAGACGATGGTAGTATCTATTTCACAAGGCTGTTGTGATGAACAAATAATGTAATACAGGTAAAATGCTTGGAAAAGTATCTAAGATATAATAAATGCTCAACTTGGCTATGATTGTTGTGACAAGTGCTACCACTGCTCCCAAAGAAGTAAAGAAAAAGATGATGATAGTGATGAACCACATTGCTATTAAATAAAAGTCCTGATGGGCTTATCCTCTTCCTACCCTGTCAGATGCAGGCCCTAGCAATTTCTAGAGGAGTTACTAACCTGATAGACGTGATGAGACTCTTGATAGAGTCAGACACGGTGTGGGAATGTCCCGCCAGCACAGACCAGGTGGGCGGGTCTTTGGGGTTGATGGCCAGTGAGCGTGCAGTGCGGATGAGGTATGATGAGCTCTCCAGCATGGTCTTGGCTGAGACCAGGATTGGTTCCTGTGCCTGGGAGCCCTGGGACCAAACAGCAGAAGGGTCAAGGGCAGAACACACAGACTGGATGAGTCAGCTGGACCCAAGGAGGTCTTGTTCTTTACCAAGTCATCACTTCTCTCGTTTGAAAGGAGACAGAGGGCAGAGAACCATGGAGGCTGATTCACTCCTTACATATTTCTGAGTGTGACACATACCGAGAATTAGCCCCAAACCTACGCACAGAGATTGTTCTCAACATACAAGGCAAAGACACTGCCTCTTAAGAGATGTGCAGACACTGAGCTTCATTAACTCTGCGTGTATCATCACTGGCAACAGTAACAGTGCCCTACACGCTGACAGAGTTTTTGGAATTCTTAACTGTTCATGCTCACTGAGTGTCACACAAAACTAGCCAAAGACCTCAGCGTTACCTTTGCTGCAAAGATCCCCTACCTCAGAGCTGATCTGGGCAGGAACGCTGACAAACTCAGGGTTGGATGCAAACGCTGTCAAGTTCTCCACGGCTTCGATTAAGGGTGCGGTGGCAATGCGACATTTATTGCGGTTGTCTTCAGAGAAATCCCCGTCCAGAGCCTGATGGGA